TGGCAGTAGCACTGACAGTTCAACAGTAAAGTGATGTCCTTTTTCAGCGCGATCCCACTGCTCTCAGACTTTTAGCCTTGAATTATGTTTACTGTTTTACCCGGATGAACGAAGGAGACAGATCGCTGACATTTGGCCAGCATTTATTAGAAGTGGCAGTACACAAAAGCAGTTTTGCTAGCGATGGTATGAAGAGTAAAACGTTAATTTTCAGACAGCCCTCAGATCATCGTACGTACTTCTACGTCAGTTTTCATTAAATTGACAACGCTGCGAAACCACCCGTTACGCCTTTCGTCGAACTCGTGAATTCACTAATGATTGTAATTTAGCCTTTTGTTCACAACTTTAACAGTTCCCACATTACGCCAGACCTTCTGTACGTTTAGCATCGTAAAGACGAATGAATTTTTCTTTTTGCTAGCTATATATATATATATATATACATACATAGGCTAAGGTAAGGCATAAAACTAGTTGCGGCGAGCGCGTCGACGGACTTTCCTGCAGACTCGGCTCATCCTCAGCTGAAACTCAGACGCTGGCACAGGATCGAGAAGGTTGGAAGACGCTGAGCGTAAAGACAAGCTTGCCTGCGTACCTTGAATTGACAGGAGGCCATGGAAACCGAGCGATTGACGATGAGTAAACTGTAGACGTCAATTTACGTCACTCACGACGTCAAGTTTGCTTGGATCGCGGCGAAATCTGACCGGTGATGATGAACGCCGAGAAACGGCGAAACGGTACAGTACGAAGTGCGACACAGAACATCGAGGTTTTTACGACAAGTTTCGAAAATATACAGAAACTCAGTATCGAAAAACATCAAACAATAACACGGTATGATGGTTTATACATAAACTTCAAAAGCACTTCCTATAAAGTCTGAATAAAGCTGAAGAGTAACAAAAAGTACAGATGACTCGCTGCTAGCGTTGGCTGCCGCGGCGCCAGCCGGTGACCGGATGCGTGTACAGACGGACGGCCGGAACTCCGCAAGTGGCGTCGGCGTCCGGACAGCTTGCCTCAGCCGCTAGAGCGGAACAAACTTAACGTGGGCTCGACACAGACAGACCCACTAAGCTACATCCTAAAACGCGCTACATCTTTTCAAATATATCACATTCAATGCAATCACCGTGATAAGAGACTGGACGCAAGTAACCAGGTAACAAAAATGTTCCCCGCATAAGAAAAAATAAAATAAAAGTTAAAACTAAGCAAGACGCAGTTAAGTATAAAAAACCGTTGCACAAAAATCGGTGTACGCTACCGGGTCGGAAGTAAAACGTTTATACAAAACAAACAAACAAACGAAACACGTGCGATTTCGGTTTCACAACAGGACGTGCAGAAGTTTTGAACTGTCAAACACCGTTGCAGGCGGACGACGACGACGACGGCGACGTCGTGGTCGTCGTTGCTGCTGCCTCTTGCTGTTGCTTCGGGCCAACCGCTCTGCCGGACTTGTCACACGGGGACAACTGACCGGCAATGTACGCTGCTGGATAGGCGCATGGCGATGGCAGAAAGCTGTACGGGCTGGTGCAAAACGCCATGCCACCTGCCACCGGCACGATGGTCGCCGGCACTGGGCTGTTTTCGACGGAGACCGGTACCGGCACCGGTCTGGCGTGCTGTGGTGCCGATCGGAACATCATGGCGTTCACTGATCCGCCGGTGGTCAGCTCGGTACTCATTGACACACCGCCGTTGTTGTTCGCCACCGCCACGCCGTCGGATATCACCGGAACATGGTAGTATTTACACGCCGTCCGCGTACACTTCCCTTTGGCAAAATCGCGACAAATCGTCACCCTATTATCATGGCTCACTTCCACATAATCTAAAGCAAAATCCGATTCAGTACACCGAAGCGCCAGTCAACAACCACACATCACATAAAGTTTAGCGAACATGTTCATCCAGCACAATCGACGCTGCCGCACCGTTCCTTCGAGGTGGCGAAAAACGGACAATGACCAACGTGCCGGATCGCTCGTAGGTCGGTAGTCAGTATTCACTACGAACAGGGCGTTTCTCCTGACGGTGACGACCGAGGCGAGGCTCAACAACGTCAACAGCGTTTAAACGATCGGCTACCAGAAGGAGCTATATACATCACCGGGAGTGAAGGACTGTACATATCAGAAAAATGTCTGGTGATTTTTCAGGGAAATAGAGCATTAACACACGTACTATTGATGTTAACAGCTTAAAGGGCAAAACGAAATACGAACATCGACAGGTTCACAAAAAACCTGTTAAGCTTCTATAGGTTCAAAGAAAGTATTCGTTCGTTTGTAATTAACGACAAATTGAAACGTACAGCTTCCGCCAGCACAGTTTTCGTTGCATTATCGACTGAAATTCCACCTTGCACGATGTCCGAACCGTTACTGACGGCTACCGCTAACCGGAAAATCAAAAATCAAATCTGTGTGCCCCTAGAAAATTCAGCCAAGGCTCGGAGTCGCTGAATCTTGATCGAAAAAATCGCATGCCGTCTTGGACAGATCGACCGGGCTCAGCAGCATGAACAGACGGTCTCAGACGAGCGGAGTGGTCGCGAAACACATCCTGGACCTTCAGCGCTGGGGGGAACGCAACTCACGCCATCATTTCAAGCATCGTTGTGGCTAAGAGCTGAACGATCCGAATGCAGATCCGCCATTTCAGCGCATACGAACGAAAAACGCGAAGTTAAAGTAGTCGAATACACGACCGGGACATGTAGGTCACTGTCAGACAAGCAACTTATCACCAGATCATTAATATCACCAATGGAAAACGGAATCGCCGACCAATGAGAAGAGATGCGTACAGGAAAGCGACAGCAAGGCCGAAAAAGAAATTAAAAGAATGGAAATACTGGTCATGCTACCGGAAAACAAGGGCGGTTGTACGGTCACGATTAAGTTGAAGGAATACGTAGAGAAAGCCCGAAGTCTCTTGGGAGATGAATGAACACATTGCGAGATAGGCCGGACAGAAAAAAAACGAACATCGCCATTCAGATCCACCGGCTGACCAACGGAATGATGAGCAGTCACAACGGCGATCAATAATACAGAATAAAGAAACGGATCAGATTTCTTGGAGGAAGAGCTGACGGCTGCCGCGATCCATACTTCTACGGACTAGCCGAGACACGTACTGTGGGATGCAAACAGCATCATTCGCACGGAAACAAACTGGTGGACAAGAAAGATTTAGGAAGCAGTTACGGTCGAGTGGACAAAAAAGCAAAATCAACCACAAAAAGAAAACTTCCTAAATCGGTCCGCATGGCTTGCCCCGTTTACGCAATGAAATTCTGGATAAAAACGTGTTATCTGAACTCACATCTCTCGTTACAAGCTTTTCAACTAATTTTTTTATACTAAAACTAAAACAGTTCTAAGATACAACAGGATAAAGTGACGGCGTGTGACAAAAACAGCTCTTCGTCCAAAAAACTGCTCCCAGGCAAGACCGCTAACAAAAAATGGCATGCCAACGGCTCGTTGCGGATCTTGCTTCGGATTTGACAATGACACGGGGTTGCGCAGTCCGTGAATCCGAACCAATCCATTTGAACAATAAAATGAAGAAATGCATTTAAATAACCTGTTATTTATAAGCTATAATCTACAAAAGACCATGTACACATTTGTTTGAAACATGTTCCGAAGAACATCTGCTGTTGTGAAAAATAACCTGACCAGAAAAACGCAAACTTCAGAACTTTATACTCACCGTCCATCAGATGTACATATCGACAATTCAAACGACTGCACCGTCCTTGTTTAAAATCGCGGCAGACCGGCAGGGTGTCCAGCAACTGCAAACACAACAGAGACGTTACATCGAGTA